CTGAGCCGGTGAGATTTGAACCGCTGACCTGCTGATCTAGCAGTAGCCTGCAGTGCTGCATTTAACCACTGCGCCACCTTGGCTCAGCCTCGGCAGGGGCAGCGTCCCTCCACAACGCCCCCCCGTTTCTCAGGTAGCTCCTTGGCAAAGTTAATGGCCCACTCCTGGATTAAGGCCACCCTCTAGCTCTTATTCCAATCACTCTGCTACCAAAACCTCAGCACTTACTACACCCTTGTCACAACTGTTGTAGATCTCAAGCAAGTGTTACTCAACCATGGCAACTTGAAGATATGGGGACTTCAACTTAAGAGAATCTCCCCAACCAGCATCTCAAGGCACTGCCTGAGAAACATCACAGAATACCAGAGTTGGTAGGGACCATGGAGGTCTTCTAGTCCAACTCCCTTCTCAGGCAGGAAACCCTACACCACTTCAGACAAATGGTTGTCCAATCTCTCCTTAAAAACTTCCAGTGTTGGAGCACCCACAACTTCCGGAGGCAAGTCGTTCCACTGATTTAATTTTTTTTTTTCTGTCAGGAAATTTCTCCTTAGTTCTAAGTTGCTTCTCTCCTTGACGAGTTTCCATTCGTTGCTTCTTCTTCTGCTTGGAAAATAGGTTGTTGTGTGGAAGCCCCTCCAATATTGGCACCCTGCTATCATGTCACCCCCCTGCTCCTTCTTTCCACTAGATTAGACTAAGTGAGCATAGGCTCCCCAGGGTTTTGCACGCTTGACTGCACGTAGAAATAGCACTTGTGTACCGCTTCGTAGTGCTTTTACAGCCCTCTCTAAGCGGTTTTTACAGAGTCAGCTTCTAATCCGGGTCCTCATTTTACCCACCTCGGAAGGATGGAAGGCTGAGTCAACCTTGAACCAGTCAGGATCGAACTGCTGGCAGTGGGCAGAATTAGCCTGCAATATAACATTCCTAACCACTGCGCCGCCATGGCTCATAGCCAATTTCTGCAACTGTTCAGGATGGACAAGGAGTCTTCAACGGATGATTGGTGGCTTAGTGATTGATTGAAGTTTCAATGGAGCTACCAGAGGGGAACTTATAACCCAAATTAGAATGTGCAGTGGTCATGTGATTGCGCTTTGCGAGCATGGCAACTGGGCCACATTTACGGCAGTTTTCAACATACCACAGACCCCTGACTGCATTTTACAAATGGGTTTGCCGAAAACCGGCATCTGTGTTCAGTTTTGAGCAAAACGGTACCCATAATGAACCCCCCGGTTTGCTTAATGGCTGCCACAAAAAAAAAAGGTTGTAATATTTATTAATAAATTCTTGTTTAGAGCTTGCTATAAAGGTAAAACTTCTTTTGGGCCTGATGAGAGGAGAGGTGATATAAATAGTAAATAATTTTTAGTTAACTACAAGAATTATAAGGAAATGTTAATGGATAATGCTTAATATTATATATATATATATATATATATATATATATAATAT